TAGGGTGAAATGAGGGGGGAAGGGGGGTAATAGGGTGAAATGGGAGACTCACCTGAGCTGGGAGTGCAGTTTGGTGGCTTTGGAGCTGAAATCCTCCCAGATGGGGTAGGAGCTCTGGAAGAGACGGAGATAAAGGGTTAATATGACACAATAATAATTATCCCATCACATGACTTTCCTCAAATTGAGGACATATCACACTTCCTGTTCTCATACTTTGTATCGGGGGGACATATCACACTTCCTGTTCTCATACTTTGTATCGGGGGGACATATCACACTTCCCGTTCTCATACTTTGTATCGGGGGGACATATCGCACTTCCCGTTCTCATACTTTGTATCGGGGGGACATATCGCACTTCCCGTTCTCATACTTTGTATCGGGGGGACATATTACGCTTCCCGTTCTCATACTTTGTATCGGGGGGACATATTACACTTCCTGTTCTCATACTTTGTATCGGGGGGACATATTACACTTCCTGTTCTCGTACTTTGTATCGGGGGGACATATTACACTTCAATTACATCTTTGCGGTTGCGTCGCGGTAATGTACGCTGTGTTATCTCATCCACCCAAACCCCGCCCCTAAATCTGTGCAGGAAGTTGAATGTGACCCCAGGACGTGGCCCTGGACGCGCTGCCATTGGGACGGAGGGGCCAGGTCTGGGACTGTCCATGCCGGAATCTCTACACATGGCAGCAGGAAGCGGAGATCGATGGTCCCGGATCACATGGTACTCCCAGGGATACACCCCCAACAAACGACCGTGGCTATTATTATGGAGTTGCCCCATTTGTGGTTATGACTTTTCCACAAGATTCTGGGGGGTGTCTGCGGGAATTTGTCCCATGTGTGAGGTCAGGTGCTGATGTTGGAGGAGAAGAACCGGGCTCACAGTCAGTGATCAGTAGGGATGAGGTCGGGGCTCTGTGCAGGACACTCGAGTTCCTCCACCACAGTGGTGACACCATGTCTGTATGGAGCCCCCTCCTCCCCCATGTTTGTATGGAGCCCCC